AACTGCTGGTTTTTTGGAAGAAAGTCGTAAATAATGGAGAAGAATAACTTTAATAATTTATTAAAAAGACATAAATTTTGGATTCAATAAAAACTCTACGAACTTATCCTTCAACTCAATGTTTGAAAATGGAAAGCGAAATGGATCTTTATACGTAATAGAACCGAGATCGCCTTATAAAATGTAAAAGGTTGATAATCCTTATTTATTGATTGTCCTAGGGGCACCCCAAGAGATTTATAGGATGGCACGTTATTTTGGGTTTATAAATGGCTATCAAACTGCCGGTGCCATAAGACCTCCATTTTTTGACGGCTTGTCGTGCGGCCTTCTACCTTCTCGACTGAACAAAGGGACTGATTGCACTCGCGACCCTTTAGGTGTCAAAGTTACTTGAAGAAGTTTTATGAAGAGGCTCTCGACTCGACTAGAGAGTTGGTTGAACTCCGTACGCATTCTGAAACGTTTAATAACTTTAATGCTGATATACGCAGAAATTAAGTGAAGGAATGTTAGGTACTAGTTCAAAATATACAGGGTGGTTCAAAATTTATTAATACAAAAATTGTGGGATGTTTAGGACGGTTTCTTGAAAATTGCCCACCTCTTTTCTCCGCTGTTGTTAGAGATAGGAAAAGAAGTTAAATTTGCAGAGATTTAAAAAAAAATGACACACCACAAAGACTACTGAATGACCCATTTGCTAAATTTATGACTAACTTATTCTTTTTTTAACCAATAAATACGTCAAAATAGTTTTTTTTATTTTAAATACAGGGTGTCCGCAAATTTCACCGCTCAACGTTTGACTGCATATTCACGACGATAAACAAATACGATCTACGAAAAAAAGTTAATTAAAACATATTTGGTTTTTGAGTTACAAGCCTTCAAAGTTGTCAAAAAGACAACTAATTTAATTAATAATTTCATAACCCCTTTTGCCGATCGCGTTAAAATTTGGCACATTCATTTGGACTATTATGGCGTATTATTTCTTAAAGCTTTAGTCAAATCGATATACTGGATGATAGTTTTCTCCGGTTACCTCTCCCTTTTAGCGGTCAAAACTTTTACAGTGGTTCTATTTTTTTAAAACGGGCAGCGACATTGAAAAAAATTGTCTCTTGAGAAAATCGCCTACAGAAAGCCATTCTTGAGAAAAATTGCATTATTTGCAGGTCTGTATGTTTCGGTTTGCATGTCACGGTTTTAAAACTTTGAGTTCAGTAGGCGATGAAAACAAGATGTTGATTGTTGTGGCTATCAGGTAATGCCATTATTGTAGTGTTTCTTTAGCAAATCGAAACGTACAGACCTGCAAATAATGCCATTTTTCTCAAGAATAGCTTTCTATATATCGATAGTACATCGATTTGACTAAAGCTTTAAGAAATAATACGTCATAATAGTCCAAATAAATGTGCCAAATTTTAACGCGATCGGTAATAGGATTATGATGTTATTAATTAGGTAAATTACTTTTATTTTTGACAACTTTGAAGACCTGTATCTTAAAAACCAAAAAGTCTTTTTTTCGTAGAGCATATTTATTTATCGTTGTCAAACGTTTCGTTCGTTTATGCAGTCAAACGTTTTCCGTGAAACTTGCGGACACCCTGTATAATATATCTTTAACGGTTTTCGAGATATGTATTACTTGGAAGACTGTTGACAAAAAATTATAATAATTATTAATGAAGTAAAATGTTAGCAGATGCAGAAAAACGATACAGTGTCAATTTACTTAAAATATGTAAAATTGCAGTAAAAAATAACTCCATTTTTATTTAATTTGCAGAAAATAAAACAAACATTTTTGTTACAACGACCATTCACAGACGTGAACATTAATCCAAACTAATAAGAGCAGTGTGAAAACCACAACAGTATTGAATGAACAGACATTTGTTACATCAAATCGGTTGAATGAATAAACGCACTACGCTCATCCAGCTACGTAATTTTTTAAAAATAAAGTCCACACATTTTTTTCTTAATATTTGCAAATATTTTATTCTAACTTTTTTTGGCAATATCAATTTAGTTTTTTAACAATAACAAATAATTAATTATATCTACAGTCAGTAAATAACATAACCAAATAATATTAAAGTGAAAAATTATGACATTTCTACTAAAGTATTCAGAAATAGGAACTAGAACGGAACCACTTTTATTATAGTGCATATAAATTATATTAAAGCGCTATAAATTTAACTAATAGATATTTTATACGCTCATTTCTCTTGTGGCCTTTTGTCTGTGCCTGACAGGTAATTTTCTAGATTCAGACAATTTTCATATTGCACACATTGTTCGTTCCTCTCAAAGCAGCAGCACAACGGGCAGTGTATGGCTCTCGATTAGGCGAGGAAATCTAATTTGCGGCTTTGAATTTCTACCGGGACGTATTCGTAATCAAATAAATTTACAAGGTAGTCATGCTTTATTTAATAAGAGTTATATCGAATAGCGCAATTTTGATAAAAGGGTGTTTCTACAAACACAAAGAAAATTAAACATTTAATAGCCGAATAATTTACTATTTAACTAATAGTGATAACTATCTAGCTATTTTCAAGTATGGCGGATTATGACGAACAAATGTAGGTACTCGGGTGTAGAATAAATTTGAATAAATTTCAGAATATTCAAACACAAAATTTAAACCGTCAAAGCCGCCATAAGCGCTTTTGCACTGTGGCGCGCGGCAGCTTCGATATCAAAGGTGCTGCTGGCTGCCGCTTTATTTAAACCTTCATCAGAAAATTTTCCATTTAAAAAATAACATTCTAGGGTATAGTGGCTTAAAAAAAGTCGCTTATTTTCGTGCCCTCCGTCGCCCTTTTCAAGGAAACACCCTGTGTTTCGCACATACACATAAATCAACATTTTATAATTTAAAAAAGCATTCAAATGTAAATTCGTATTTCCTGCCGGCATTGGCAGTAACGTTGAGGATGGTACAATAAGGAATAAATATCTGTATTTTCAAAGACTAACTATTATGTTGCTGCTGTTTTTGTAAGGCGCATATAATGTCACGCTTATCCGCACAAAAAAATATGGCCTCTTTAAGTCGCTACAGTTTTTCTTTGCAGTCAGTTTACCAAAGGATGTAGTTCCTAAGGTAAATAGCCTGCAGCTGTAAGTTTTAGTGCTTTCCTCCTTTTGGTAGCAGAGTTAATGAAACAGCCCGAAGGTCTGAAACGTAATAATGAAACGAAAGAAAAATTTCCCTCGCTAGAAAAAGCAAGAAAGGACAGGCATTTGTTGGATATTTAAATATAAGAAGAATCTCTATTTAAAAACAATGAGAAAATTTTTATTTTTGAGCAGAATTGAACTGGTTGTGTAATTCTTTACAGATATTTAGCAATGTGAAATTGTTTCCAAAAAAAAATGAGAAGTTACACTTGTTTGTTTTATTAGAAAGGAACATATGTAATGCAAATAAGAAATTTCAGAATATTGTTATCCAATATGTATGTCAAAATAGAAAAAAAATCTTGTAAGGGTTAACTTAGGTATTTTATCTTTTTAGTAAAAAACGGCAAACACGTAAAAATTTTCAGCCACATTTAATTTCAGCAGAGTTTATGGCGACCAGTATAACCAGAAACTCTGAAAAGAGTAAAACAGGAAATAAAAATGTGACCATTTTATTATACATATAATTTATATTAAAGCCCCTAAATTTAACTAATAGAGATTTTATGCGTTCATATTTCTCGGGCGGCCTTTTGTCTGTGCCTGACAGGTAATTTACTAGATTCAGATGATTTTCATATTGCACACATTGCTCATTGTTCTAGAAGCAGTAGAATCGCCCTGGATTGGATGTGAAATTTACAATTTTTGTATTTGACAGACTCGACATTGTTGCGATTAAATCGTGTATCGCACATTTATACTTATTAAGCAATCATCACTATTATTGGCTGTTGTTGACCCTGCCAATTTAGTAACATAATGAGACATTGCAGAATTGCAAGTATATCAGTCATTTATTTTAAGAAAAGATAGAGAAAAATAAGTAGATTAAAAAAAATTAAAATGCATATTTACGCTGAAAGAAATTATTTTCAAATCATTATTTAAACACCTTTTCGGACTACTCCTGACTGCTGAGCCACAGAGATTTATCGAGAGTGAATCTTGAAGGTTTACCGATTATTTGGTCACTAACCTAGTTTTTATTGCATATTTAATACGTAATGAACGACAAGGAATAAACAGACCTTTTCACCTCAACACATTAATGAGTAAAATATTTGTTTACATTTTAAATATTAACAAGTAGTATTATTTATTTGTTAATAAAATCAAATGTATAATTAGGTTAATAGGTTATTACAATTTAGTATTTTTAATATTGTTTACGTTTTCACTATGTATTACGTATATCTAGTGACTTGTTGCTTTTCAAAGAGTAGTATACGACCTATCTATTTAAAATATCAGTACGGCTAAAACAACTCTCATTCGTTCATAGCATTTTGTTAATAAAATTGGGACCCGCTCACTTTAATTTTGACACCAATTGGAAAATTCAAGACGACTGGGGAAATCAGCTGTTTCGCTTCAACGTTCGAACGTTCTGTGGTCCGTCAACGCGTTCCTGGTCAGAAAATGTGATACAAAGTAGGGCGCCGTAGAGGTCATTTGCTTATCTTTTAAAAGGTTGAGGTTGAGTAAATTTTGTTCTGATTTTTGTCGTTATTGATATCTGAAAAACAAAACACTATAGACAAAAATTTTTTTTTTCTTAAAATTGTTCGCCTCCTGGTAAAAATTACTCTGCATTTTACAGTCGTATATTACATTCATGCTACACTCTGTATATACAGCAATATTTTGTATACGGTGCACATTCAAGTACGATTGTTTTATGGTTTTAATTATGCAAATAACAATTCGCAAAAAATCCTTACATGGTTCATATAAACAAATATTCCTATGTAATTAGCTGTTTATATATAGAAAACAAACTGCTAGTGCTGCACAAAAACGAGTATGAATCGTTTAGTTGACAGAATCGCCATCGTTACCGGGTCCACAAAGGGAATAGGCTACAGCATAGCGAGGCGACTTGCTCAAGAAGGTGCTAAGGTAATAATATGTAGCAGGAAGAAAGAAAACGTTGAAGCTGCCAAAAAGAAGCTCTTAAGTGAATGTCTTGATATCGAAGCCATGGTTTGCGACGTAGCAAACCCTTGTGACAGAGAAAAACTTCTAAAGGAGGCAGAAAAATGGGGCAGACTGGATATATTGGTTTCTAATGTCGCCGTGGACCTTCAGTCAGTATTGGTTCCAATTTTTGACTGCTCTGAAAGTACCTGGGACAAAGTATTTGAAGTGAACGTGAAGGTTTCTTATCTTTTATCAAAAGAAGCACTTCCGTTGCTTAGGAAAAGTAACGCAGGAAGAATAATATACGTTTCGGCACTTGGAGCCTATTTCGCCCAGAACCAGATGGGAGTTTACGCGATTAGTAAGGTCGCCTTGCTAGGTCTTACGAAACAAGGGGCGCTCCACTTGGCACAGGAAAATATCACAGTGAACTGCATCGCTCCGGGACTTATAGAAACGGATTTGTCGAAATCAGTCTTAGAAACGGCTGATGAGATTCGTAAAAAGGCGTCATTTATACCATTGAACAGGTATGCGAGAGGAAGTGATTAATAATAAAAAAAATTGATCTTATTGATGAGTGACAGAAGTATTATAGTAATTATGGTGTTATAGGTATGGATAATGTACTGGTAGTGCAAGTCAATCAAGAGCATTATTACCCTATAACACCCATGATGCCTTCAGCATTTAATGATCAGTTATTCAACAGGAAAATGTTCCCGCTTAATAACATTAGTTAGATGTTATGAATATTCATAATATATTCATATGGCGTGAATTTTCATATTTTGATTAGTTGATTATGTGTTGGTTACTTTTTGGCATTTTCTGTAAACTTCAACTCTCGTCATCAATAATAAAAGTGCGTGGTTTATTTGTCTCTTACTTTGAATATATAAAACATTAATAAATAACATAGTAATTGGATCAAAAATAAAATTTAAGTATATTATAAAATCTTTAAGTCATTATTAATAGACTGGGGAAAAACAATAAATGTTTCTGATGTTCTACATATAAGTAGAGGGTGTATTTGTATAAAGTTAAAGGTAGTAGGAACTCAACCGCGGGTTTTAGGTTTAGCCAGTTAACATTACAATTATTTAAATAATTTAAAATTGTCAAATTTTCCAAAACATTAAATTCAAAAGCGTGTTCAGACTTAGGTATGCAAAAGTTTAAAATTATTGTCTGTATTAAAAGTATAATGGCGTAATTTTAAGTGTTCTTATTTAAACGTTCACAGGCAAAACGTCGCTATACTACCATAAATATCTTTGAGATATTTCTTACGAGATTTTATACGATCGAAGATAAAGCATTGCTATTTGATAGATACCTAATCTGTTGATAATAATTTTGTTGCAGAGCTGGAAGTACTGAAGAAGTAAGTGGAACAGCTGCATTTTTGGCTTCAGATGACGCTTCCTACATTACCGGTGAAACTATAGTTGTTGGAGGAGGAGTGCAGTCCAGGTTATAACAAAGTTAGACAAATTTATGTCAATATCCAAGAAACCCCGATAGTTATTTATTAGGATGATTAATAAGACCTGAATAACATTTTCTTAATCATTACAGTCTCTTCTTTTACATTTAATTAATTAAAATTAATGTTAATTTGAATGATCGTGGTTGCTCTTTATGCAAAAAAGCTATTTGATATCTTTTCAATCAAATTTTACAACGCTACAATCTGTAAAATTTAAAAATGTTATTAAGTGCAATTGGGCCCATGTTACCTAGTTTCTACGAACTAAGACAAATATTGTCTTCGCCTTAAATTAAAATGATATCCATCAAGTCTCGAGTTGTTATATACTTAAACCATTTTTAATAGGTACTAGAAAAACTAATGTAAACACTATCGCAAAAACGTAAATACTAACATCGGATTGCAGTGTTCGGAATCGCCTGCGATCATGTGGAGAGAGAGTGCATTGCGCACAGCGTACAATGCGAATGACGCTAGAGGCCACAGTAGTCCATCAATGTAAAGGTTGAAAATACTACGACTTCAATATTTTTTTCTTCTCGGAAACTATAAGGATTTTACAAAAAAATTTTTACGATATTTTTTTGAATAAGTTGTGAGTCATCCTTTATAGGTAGGTAGAATTAAATCTTATTTTGTCACTAAATTTGCGTAGTTAACTGGATGCTATTTTGATACACCAAGAATATTGATTAAATAAGACAATTAATGTCATTTATATATGTTCTCATATATATTAAAAATCTATTAAATTGAATAAATTTTCTTGTGGAAAAATACAGGATCATTATCGCAGCATCGTATTTTAAGTCCGAGAAAGTTACACCGCCAAAAAAGGGCCCAAATAAAATCATTACTGGAAGACGCCCATCCCCGCAGTTTCCCGGATCAACTTTGGAAATTTATATTACGATACAGTGACTGCAAACTTTATCGGTGTACATGTGTGGAAAACTAATGTCCCGTAAAGAATCGCGTTAAAGGAGGTGTATCTCTTGCTGAAAGCCTGAGCTAGGTAAATATTTCAAAAGTTTCTAAAATGTAAAACACCCCTCGAATTTTATGGCGACATCAGCGGGGAAGTTTTCATTTCGTTACTTCCAAGCCAAGTGTTGCCGTAATGTTCGCTATTCGCGTCCATGGAAGGAATCACTAAAACGATATCTGGAAATTATGCTAAATATTTCATTGTGTTTATCAAATTTAATATTTCGATAGTAAAATTTATACATTTTCTTCACACAACCAACTTAATACCATGTCATAATTTTACATACTGTTACAAAACTATATGGCACTAGTTGTCATAAGTGGTCAGGTGATAAATTAAAAAAATATAATTATATTATTTCTTTCTTTGGTAAATTCAGGAAAGAAGTTACATTACGGGAAGCATATATGTAAGCAACACCTACTTAGTCTCTTCTTTGGTGTCTTATTTGCCCGACAACTCACTTATTTTTCAATGACTCAAAGCTGTTGATTGTGCTTGATCATTGTTTTAAACCGTTAAAACTTAAGAAATGTTGGAGATTTTTAGACAAGTGAAAATCCCAGAGTGCTAAATCCATTCTATAAGCCAGATGATATGAATAATCCATCCGTAATCTCTTCCTTGAAACGCTGAAGGAATCTTCAAATAAACGCATGATGACTTACTTATTTACCGCAACGCTAGTCTTGAAACTCGTGTTAAAGTTGATTTGAAAGATTTAATTTTATTTCAAATTTCATGATGAACCATTGTAGTATGTAAAAAGTTTTGATTTACACCAAGAAGTTTTGTAATGTACTTTTTATTACCCATGAGGGATAAGTCCTATATTTTCGCTTGTTTTTTAGGTTGGTAAATAGCTGTTTGCTTACTCTATTTATTTGCGTGCGGTAATCACACTTGTCGCCCGCGAATAGACAAAATTTAAATACACACTCGAAATAGTATATTGTCCAATAAGTGCGGTGAGTTGTCTATTATCCACGAGAGCGAAATTGCTCAAATGGGTAATAGACAACGAGCAATTTCGCTCTCGTGGGCAATAGACAACTGCACGAATTGCACATACTATTTTTTATTACGGATGCGGCGAAATCTAGATAAATTATCACAGATCAACATTTGATCTAAGCGGGAACACCGTAATCGGTATAGGCTACTAGGGGTTTTTGGGGTCGCTGATTACGATGAGAGGGTCAGTTAACCTCTATCACGTCAGGTTCAAGATCATTTGAAGGTCAAATGCAGAAAAAGCCATGAAAAATAAAAAATCTGAAAAAAATCATGGATATGTTTTTGAGGTCGGACAATCCGAATCTGAGGTCAGCTAAGCTCCACAAGGTCAAGGTCAAGGTCATTTGAAGGTCAAATACAGAAAAAGCCATGAAAAAATCATGGATATGTTTTTGACGTCGGAGAATCCAAATCTGAGGTCAGCTAAGCTCCACAAGGTCAAGGTCAAGGTATTAGAAGGTCAAGTTCAAAAGAAAATTTTTAACCGATAACATTTTTTAGTTGTTATTCTTCATGTTTTTTATATAAACCCTTACTTCTTACTTGTATCTATATATTTGCATATATAAGCAATTATTCTACAAGATTTATACTCATTTCACGCACTTTCGCTCGAAATGTGGAACTCACTCACTCATATATCACAGATAAGTAACAAAACTGCCTAAAGTACTTTCGCTTGAATCATCGCGCTTATTCAGTTACATATCACTGATCCGACAATAATACCGTAAAATCAGTATATCGAAGAACTTTTTCTGCGCGTTATATGTGGCTACCGTTCTATCTCGTATGAGGTTACATGCTTATTAGCAGAAGAGGCATCTATATAGCTACTAGTAAATGAAATAACAAACAATTTCCGTTGAAAGCAACCAAACTATCAAAATGGAGATATCCTACGGAAAACAGAAAAGACCCAGACCATGAATCTATGGCAAATAGGATGAAAGGAATCACCTAATGGAAGAGGGATACACCGATTGATTAAAGTTATCGGTAACTGGATTCATCTTAATCCAGCATCATTTTTTCAGATTTTTTCAAAAATTACTTCATCCCCTTAACCTTGACCTTTTGGAACTTCAAAGACCTCAGATTCAGATTTCCTGACCCCAAAAACATAAGTATGGTTTTTTCAAATTTTATCATGTCTTTTTTTGCATTTCACCTCTAAATAACCTTGACCTTGACCTTAGCTGACCTCAGATTCGGATTCCTCGACCTCAAAAACGTATCCATGATTTTTTTTCAGACTTTTCCATGGCTTTTTCTGCATTTGACCTTCAAATGACCTTGACCTTGACCTTGTGGAGCTTAGCTGACCTCAGATTCGGATTGTCCGACCTCAAAAACATTCAAGATTTTTTTCAGATTTTTTCATGGCTTTTTCTGCATTTGACCTTCAAATTACCTTGACCTTGACCTTGTGGAGCTTAGCTGACCTCAGATTCGGATTGTACGACCTCAAAAACATATCCATGATTTTTTTCTGATTTTTTCATGGCTTTTTCTGCATTTGACCTTCAAATGACCTTGAACCTGACGTGATGGAGGTTAACTGACCCTCTCATCATCGTAATCAGCGACCTCAAAAACCCCTTGTAGCCTATACCGATTACGGTGTTCCCGCTTAGATCAAATGTTGACCTGTGTTATAGTTCGATAAAATTTCTACACTATGTCAATCGTATCATAATTCAACTTAAATATTTTTTTTACTCAGAAATCGTTAATTTTACGAAAAAATTACAAGAGAGTTCAGAATTGAATCAGGTTATCTGAAATGTTTAAATGGTAAGGGAGTAATAAGAAAAAAAAATTACGTATGAAACTTTTGTGAGATTCAGAAAAAGTGACATATTTCATTACAATGTCATGATCACACTAATACGATAATAAATTTACAAAAGTTTTCAATTGCGATAACATGGTCTGCTTTTTCATTTCATCCAGGAAACTGTTCATTTAGTAAAAGTTTTCCTTCACTTCTCCACAAATTTCGAAGACGCCGACACGAAGTCTTTCCTTCCTTCGCGTGTCCAGAGTCACGACCGAATCGCAAAAACCGTCCACCGAAACAATTATTTACCAACATCCGTTTCTGGGGGCCTTTGCTTGCAACTTTGGTAATTTATATTGCGAAACAGTAACTGCAAAACTTTATCGGCGTACATGTGTTGTAAACTAATGCTTTAAAACGGGGCCGCTTTCAAATTGAATTCCGACGGACGTTTTTTACTATTCCATACTGCGCCCCGGAGAAAAACCAAAAAGAATCTCCGTGGTGATTATACGCGACACATCCGGAGGGAGGAAGAGCCGGATCCGCAATACTAATAAAACAAAAATAAAGCGGGAACGAGGCAAGGAGGCGAAATGAATTGGTCTGGCTGCTGGAATCGAATGAATTGTTTGTAAATAGGGGCCGTTTCCAATGAGATAGATCATCATATTGATTTTTTGCTGTAAGTATTGAGATATACAGATAATATATCAAATGTATGCACTTATACTCGTATTTGCAAATTAATGGAATTCACCAAATATTGCTATAAAGAAAATCAGTCATAAGTGGATACAAGTTCAATTGTTTAAGGAAAGAAAAAACAGTTTCTTACAAAAAGCCTGAATCCTGAATTATAGGACCAAATGGCGTTTGTAATTGTTTAGGCAATTGATACGGTGGAAATCAATATTTCTCATAGAACGCTTAATAAAACCCATGAGTTAATAAAGTAGACATTAATAAATTGAACCAAAATAATAACAATAATGTCTTTACTTCTTTCAAAAGTCGGAGATTTGTGAAAGAGAGGGGGTAGTATATTAATATTCAGAAGGCCGCATTTGCGCCCAACAAGGTCTACACTTTGGAAAACCCTAATCACCATTCAATGCAAGAATGAGGGAAGCCTGGAAAACCTTATTAATTTGGGGGATGGTCAAACGCAGACAGAATCAATCTCTCACATTGACCCAAGCCAACGTTCATTCATCCTACAATACCCGCAGAGACGACACCTAACACCCCTCTATGAATATAATTGATCGTCTCACTGTGTGGACCCGGTCCATTCAAGTACTGACCTCTTAAACCACTCGGCCACCGACTGACCAATTAGACACAAGATTTAGATAATGTACATTGTAAAAAAATCGGTGTGAGCGAAAGCAATAAATGTTCGGAGTGAATCGCCACGGTAGCGCAGTCGGTCGAGAGTGCGGTAGCA